AAAGGAATTAGTACATAAAAATCTCTTACAATAGTGCCCAACATGTAGTAATTGCTCAGTTGTTACCTTGCACTATTTCAAAGCTCTAAGAATTGCCTGGGCATAGGGGCTCACACCTTTAATCCTAACACTTTGGGAGGCTGAAGCAGGAGAATCATTACCTGAGGCAACATAAGGATACTTCGTCTCTACAAAATATAAAGTAAAAATTAGGGTGGGCATGGTGGCATGGCCACCCAGCTACTCAGGAGGCTGAGGCAGGAGGATTGCTTGAGCCCAAAAGTTCAAGGCTGCAGTAAGCCATGATTGTGCCATTGCACTGCAGACTGAGATACACATACACATCAAGACTCTGTTAAAAAAAAAAAAAAAAAAAAACCAACTTAAGAAATCCCTTGGTGTATACATCACAAGGGCTCATTAATGATTTATTGATTCTTTTTTTAATCCTCCACTGAAAAAACAGAAATGTTCTGTGTCATGTATAAATTTTCACATTTATGGATAAATTAGGGATAAAGTGAACAGCTTCTCAAAATTGGGGAATAAGATAAACATAATTATCTTCCCATTTAAGAATTCATGGAGGAAGTAAAATTTCATATTTACATTTTTTTTCTGATTAGAAAAAGAAGAAAATCCCACATAATCCCATCAACTACTCTGTTGATTATTTTAATACACTGCCTTTGTCTTTGTTCTATGCATATATGTGGAATTTTATATCATTGAGAATATGCTTAGCACCCTGCTTGATTCACATAACATTTATTAAATATATATATATATATTTTTTTTTTGAGATGGAGTCTTGCTGTCTCCAGGCTGGAGTGCAGTGGCACAATCTTGGCTCACTGCAATCTCCGCCTCCTGGGTTCAAGCAATTTTCCTGCCTCAGCCTCCCGAGTAGCTGGGACTACAGGTGCACGCCACCACACCCAGCTAATTTTTGTATTTTTTAGTAGAGATGGGGTTTCACCATGTTGGCCAGGATGGTCTAGATCCCTTGACCTTGTGATCCACCCGCCTCAGCCTCCCAAAGTGTTGGGATTACAGGCGTGAGCCACCGCGCCCAGCTATTGAATACATTTTTTTCTGTGTTTTAGAAACATTTAAATTGACTCCAATGTAAATAAGAAATAGTGGCAATTAATATGCCCCTTCTTGAACCCATAATTTTGACCTTAAAAAAATCCACTGAGAAAGGATTTTTGCTTCTTTATTTGCTAAACAGGATTATTGCTTCTTTGTTTTAAAATAAAATTGTCAGCCTGGCACGGTGGCTCACGTCTATAATCCCAGCACTTTGGGAGGCCAAGGTGGGCGGATCACCTGAGATCAGGAGTTTGAGACCAGCCTGGCCAATATGGTGAAACTCTGTCTTTACTAAAAATACAAAAATTAGCCAGACATGATTGCAGGCACCTGTAATCTCAGCTACTTGGAAGGCTGAGGCAGGAGAACTGCTTGAACCCTCGAGGCGGAGGTTGCAGTGAGCCAAGATTGTGCCACTGCACTCCAGCCTGGACAACAGAGCAAGACTCCATCTCAAAAATTAATTAATTAGTTAATTAAATTTAATTGCCTGATCAACAGTCCATTTTAAAATTTATTTTAAAATTAACAGAAAGCAGGGGAGAGATAAAACACCCACTTACAAATTAACTCAAACAAACACAGTGAGGCCCCATCTTGCCATCACAGCTGCCTCCCAAAGCCCACCATTTACATTGGCAAGTATGAATAGCTACTCAACCAGTGGGCTCTGGACAGTGTGGGGAGTTCTATGGTTACTGCCAAAAGCCTTATGGGGAAGAACTGAAAGGACGAAAAGGAAAGAAGAAAGAATAGTAAAGCGAGTGATGAGTTTTAAGTTGGGAGTGAGGCAGTTCCCAGTGAAGAAGCAGTACCCTGGATTAACGTGCCTTTTTCAAAAGACTTTTAATGCAGAGACATGGACTCACAGCCCATCATACATACAGTGTAAAGTGTGCTTGCCATTTATTAGACCTTAGTCTACCTATTCTGGTATAAGCAAAGGGCCTGCCAGCTTTCGGCTTTCTACATATGCAAAACAGCAAGTCTGATGAATCCTGCATTTCATATCCTTGAGAATCAGAGTTAACAGTATGTATGTTGGGAAATGGAGGGTATGGGTCAGCTAGAAAGACAGTTCCCATGGTATATGACAATATCTTTCACATTATTCTCTCTTGGGTTCTAATATCCAGCCTTCAAATAAAGGTTACTTTTAACACAGGAAAAGAAATCCCTAAACTCCATTTTAGTAGAATTCCTATCATTCTTCAGAAGCAAATATTCTTTCTTAATAAAAATTACTCAACTCACCTGGGGGAATACCCTTTTAGAAAAAGAAATTGACTATCCTGTGTTCACAAGAGCATGGACCCGCTGCCTTGTCATTGGGACTTGAGGACTATTCCAAATAATGACATTGCTAATGTATTTCCTCCTTTACAGTCAATCTGAAATACTCTTCCAATTCAATTACTGAAACTCTTTTCTGGTCACATCAAAATGAAAAATCATGTTTCAAGAGCCTAGATTTTCAAAATGGCTAAAGCAACCCACTATCCTTGCAGCTTAGTTCTGCCCAACTTTTCCAGCATAGGAAAAAGAGATTCAAGAACACTGCAGTTTCTTTGCTGGAAATGGATTTGCTAGGATGTCCCCTCAATGACTCCCCCATCATGGAGGAATTATATAAACATGAAACAAACAACAAAGCCAAACAAAAACGAAAAGAAAACTACCCCCATAAAACCTCATGCCTTCAGTCATCAAGTCATATTTTGTTCTACCTCTTTGCTATCCTTCTCGCATGCTGCTGTTTGTCCAGCATGTGAATTACCTGTCTAATCATGCATACTATTTGGTCTATAACACACATGCAGCAAACAGCATACTTTTCATGATCTGAATGAAGACAATGATCTAATACTTTCATTTCAAAGTACACAATTCTAAGTTTTTCCATTTCCCCAAAACAGAGATCAAAAGCCTAATTTAAAACAAACTGTGATTTATTTTCTTTGTGAGATTACAGTACAAGACCGAGTGATAAAACCTATGCTTTCCTACAAAATAAAGTATATCTGTACTCTAGAGCACCTTAAGAATATTGATTCAACTTATAAAAAGTATAATAGCATTTTAGCCTTAATATTCAAAAACCTTGAGGAAGCAAATATCACTTTTGACTTGTCCCCTGTTTAATAATCCTCCACTGTAGATGACATTTATTGCTCGTATATCTCACCTTGGTGAGTAGAATTCTCAGTCCAAATCCCTGAAAGGAATAGTGTGGCTCCCTAGTGCAAATTTCCTGAGAGCCCCTTCCCTTAGCATGTGCCAAGAATCAAATCTTGGCCACTTAGTGCTCTGTGTTCCACATGTGAGCTCGCTACGCACTGAACGGCTGTGCTAACTGAGATGGATGGCCCTGTCAAACAGGAAGCTGGCACACCAGGGTGCAAGCAGTGGGATACAATGACCTTTACATTCAGAGAAAAATATCCCTAAAGTGGCATGAAAAGTTTGTGGGGGGAAGGGAAGGGAGATTCTTTTATTTCATTTAGGTACATAGCATGACATAAAAGCAATGGTGCCCAGTATGCAATTTGCTCAGGATCAAATCGTGAATATTCCTCACACAAGAAGGAAAGTCATTGGAAAAAGGAAATGAATCATCCTTTATCAGGCTGCTTTGAGAGCACTGGACTCTATGATTCAGCTACACCACTGTGCCCAGCCTGGCCAGCGCTTGGATTCAGACTGCGCTGGGATTCACAATAACTCGTAGGGTACTACCTGCTCTAAGAAAACATTCCTAATTTCTATTAGGCTGCTTTCTTGATAGAACTAAAGTATAACTTAAATACTTTAAAATATTTCTTAAAAAGCACTAATCTACTTACAGAATCAAATTAAATACCTTGGGAATTTAAATGCCTTGGTCAGCACACTTGTGACTTCATATCAATATTTAATTTTAATCTCTCATAGTATCCTTATTGGTACAAATGAGGCTCTGACTGATAGTTCTTAGGAATGATATGAAGAGAAACTCATTTTAAAAAAACAGCGAAAATCCTTGGCACATTCACAAATGTTAACTAAAGATAGGAATATAGGACATTAATATATCAACTAAGATCTGGAAGTTATGAATTTCTCTCCTTTAGTTATAACCATAATCATAAAGAATACTATACAATTCAATCATTTCAGCTGAAAAATCAAGAACATTCCATTAGATCAATTTTTTTTTTTCCATTACTTAAGGTTTGGGGGTAATTTTTGTTGTTATTTGTTTTGTTAATTCTTTGGCATGAAAGAACAATGGGCTATACTTCAAAATGAAACAACAGGAGCTCACAGTGGGCTCCCCAGTATTGTATAATACGTACTGAAATAATGATGCAATTTTAATATTTAATTAAAAAGTGAAAGGATTGATCATAAAGACACTGCAATATTTTTTAATTGAATGGACCACATCAAAACTACAAAACAGTTTTCAAAGATACAAAAGGATAAGAGGCATCCATTTTTTTCTGTTCAATTAAAAGCATATCACAAAGTGCAGAAGCCACAGGCCCAAAGCAATAAGTAAATTTCGAAAACTGAATGCTTTATACATCATGTATTACAAGTTTGGATAAGTCAGGAGTTAAATATCTCAGGACTGGCCCTAACTTAGAGAAAATAACAGTGTTATGAATGCAAAAAAGCTACGATCACTTTGAAATGCAAGTTGATTTTGAGGCTCTAGAAGTGCTGGTCAAATGCTTCCCAAAAAAACAACAAGAAAACAAGAAACAAGACCTTCTACAAGAAATATTCTGCTGCTCACTAGGAAATGCTAAATCTGAAAATTCTCCTTCAACCTTTGTTTGGAGAACTATTTCAGAAAACATATTCTTCCTCAAATTATGACACACAAGAGACTTGGGAGGAGAGGGGAGAGGCATTAATACCTTGGGCCTGAGCGGCAGAGCTATGAGAATACCCCAGGGCCAGGAGCGCAGTCTCCACCAGCTGGCTAAAAAGCACATCTTTCCGCACCAGGACAAACTCAGCGTGTTCTTCTCTGTTGTCATATTCAAGAGAGCCGTCCAACTGCTCCACGACACAAAAGACAGGAATCATCAAACCTGAAGGGACAAAATTCAAGAGCAAAACACAAACATTACAAAGCAAATCTCAATCACCATGATGAGAAGGGAAGCGACAGTTATAAAAATCACTCATCTGTGATCGACAGTGGTTTAGATTAAACAAGCCTCTTAGTCATATCAGCCTAATGGAAAGCTGTGGGTTTTCCCCCTTATTATTACAGAATTGCCCGGGGCAGCAGCAGAAGCCCTTAGATTCCAGTCATTTCCACCAACCAGAGGTGTCCTGATACATAGGTGAGACGAAGGTGACCTTACAGATACTAGATTCTTTAATGTCTATAGTTTCATCATTAACTGTTAGCACTAGTATTTTCAGATCAGATCTGCTCTTGTCTAGAAATACATTTCAAAGCTTCCAGTTATAATAAATATATTACTTTTAAATGTAAAAGTAATATACTTCAAAGCTCCTAGCTCCTTCTTACTAAAAAGGTATATTTGATTTTAGGACCTAAGCTGTTACGTGAATATAAAAAAGTCAATAGAAATTTAAAATAAGTCCCTCTTATATGTTTTTTTTTTAAATCCTAGTAAATAGGTTATCAACTAGCCTAAAAATAACATGATCATAAACGTCTTAACTTACATTTAATTTATATCAAAATATACATCCAAATGTAAAAGTGTGCCTATGTAAAATTATTTCTACATTAACATCATTTACTACTGGAAAGGGAAGATCTTTTCTTGTGCTTTCAGAGAAAAGAAGTAAACTACCCTAAAGAATAAAGCAAATTAGTCTAGTTGAAAATCTGTTGAAATCTGTTGTCACTGAAATATTTCTCTGCTTTGTATCAAAGTGTGAAAAGCTAAAAAATGTTTAATTCACCAAGGATTTTTTAAAACTGTTTTTTATTTTTAAAAAAAGTCATACAGGCACTTAAATCTAAACATAACCAAGGCAGAAGAAGATCAAAGTTTTATCAACATACAAGTAATAAACATGGACCCTGCCTAATGTGATTTGCACAGATTAGTATGTTACAGGTCTTCTTTTTGTGCAAGAAAAATTAAAAGTTATGAAGGATGGGTGAGCAGGCAGACAGGGGAGATAAAAGTTACATGGCCATGGTGAAGGTATTCACAACAAAAAGAAGACCTTTGTGTGAAATGACTATATGGAAATATGGTCCCTGACACAGAGAATGCATAGGAGTTTTTCAGAGCCCACTCCCTGTGGCCTCAACCCTAGAAGCCTCCTGACTCACTCTGATCTGGAAAGCCGAGGGTGGGAGCAGATGCTCTACAAACTACTGGGTCACAGATTGAGGTTTTTGTTCTAAAGATAATGCATTGGTGCAACTGGTTCCCATGTGCTAATTATTATTATTAAAGATAATAAGTATTGGGTATAATTATTAAATATAATCTTATTAACAATAATAATATTCATTAAGAATTGTTATCATTAAAGATCATGGTAATTATTATTAAGACTGCACAACAGTCTAACAAGTCAAACCATATCATACAAGACAACTATTGACTCAGTGTTCACTGCTGAGAACAAGAAAGCAGCATTATTGTCTAAAGCAAATACACTCTCCATGGTGTAGATTTATTTAAAAATATAAGATACAGGTGGAGCAGACTGATTTTTTAGACAAAGAAGAAGATTTAGGACAGCCACACAATGCCTAGCAAGACACATTTTTTTCATTGTGACCATTACTGCTAGATGAAATCCTTATTTATTTATAGCAAGTTTATTCCAAAAAAAAAAAAAAAAACCATATAGGATATGTAGCAAATAATATAAATTAGATTTCTTCCAAATTATCTTTTCTTTTTCTTTTTGAGACAGTCTCGCTCTTGTAGCCCAGGCTGGAGTACAGTGTTGAAATCTCGGCTCACTGCAACCTTCGCCTCCTGGGTTCAAGCGATTCTCCTGCCTCAGTCTCCTGAGTAGCTGGGATTACAGGCACCTACCACCATGCCCGACTATTTTTGTACTTTTGGTAGAGACAGGGTTTCGCCATCTTGGCCTGGCTGGTCTCGAACTCCTAACCTCAGGTGATCCACCCTCCTTGGTCTCCCAAAGTACTGGGATCGAAGGTGTGAGCCACTGCACCCAGCCCCAAATTACCTTTGTAGTCATTCATTTATCCACTGAATGCCTACTATGTGCCAGGTGGCTCCAGGGATACAAGTAAGAACAAGTCTTATATGACTGCTGCCCTCAATGTAGTTGAAGGTGCTGTAAAACCTTCCCACTCAAGCATAATGGCATTTTATAGGACTCATTCATGAGAGTCCGTACCAGCAAGGAATAGCCCCCATTTAGAGCTTTTAACTCTTACATGCTGGCATATAATCTTTGTCCAAGGAAGTAGGTAGATTTTTAATTCTAATTATTTAAGCATATGCACACATAGGGCCATATAGTCCATGGTGCCATAAGCTACTCCACCACTAATACCTGTGTGTACATAAGTGTCAATGCTGAAAATCCATGTGCAATTCCTAATGTCAATATCTGAGTGTCATACATCTGGGAATCACAGATAAGATCTTTAAATGAATCCAATTGCTCCATAAGCTATCATGTCTCCATTATTTAGAAACTATAAATCTTTCTCAAGTCTATGGTCAACTGAAAAACTTAAGACCCTATTAACTTTTAAAAATAATATTAACTATTCAACCAGTTAGATATGAAATACGACATGAAAGCACAGGGACCTATAACATGTAGGGACTTATAATTGTCAATTACTTAAATAGTTCCTAAACATTTTGCTTCAGTGATTGAAGAAAGCAATTGTTAGCTGACACATCAGTAATAGCTTCTTACAGAAAGCATGCACCAATCCTCCACTGGCAACACTTATTTAAAAAAAGCAGGGGGGTGCTTTGTGGTCATTTATAAAACAGTATTAATGAGGAATGTCTGATAATAGGGTTTGTTATGCAGCGCATATATATGAGACACTGAAGAATATCATAAAGAGCTTATATTTTAAAAAATTTACCTTCTTACTAGAATTTGACCCATCTAAACAATTATGGTTTTTATAATGAAATGCAATTTTTACAAAAGAAGAAAAAAGGAGGAAAAATAGATGTAACTGCTAGTGACAATAACAAGAGAAATGAAAAATAGTAAAATAGTATGACTGAGTTCAAGTGCAGAAAGAAGAAAATTAAGGCATAAGTTTAAAAAGCCTTTAAAAACTGGAAATCCCTAAGGGAAGCAAACTGTAAAAGGATGAGTAAAAATATCTGCAGAGAGAGAAAGAGACAGAGATTTGTTCATTTTATCCACAACTCGTCCCAGGCAAAAAGAAGGAAGAAAAAAAGAAAGAGAAAAAGTGACAACGGATAGAAAGATAGGGAGGTGCTTGAAAAGCACTTCAGAAAATAATTTAAGAGTGAGAAGAATTTAAAAGCTCCAATAAAAGAAAAATGTAAAACTGAAATGCATTTTCTTTTTTTTGGAAGGGGGGGTAACCTCAGTGATATGAAATGCATCTTCAACAAAATTTAGAAATGGTGAAGAACAAGGAAAAACTTGCTCTAGCCCTATATCTTGAGCTTCCAACATTATTATTATTTTTTTTTATTGTAGCACAGACCCATTTTCAGATAATCTAGTGGAGAACTTTGAACCTTTTGATTATAAGCCTTACTAAGCCTTTTACAATTGCAGGAGGTAAGCAGGTAGTTTAATCTGGAGAACAGGCGCTCGGCCTCAGCCATTTGCTAAAAATTAAGAGTTGTTCTAGTAATTGGGATAAATGATGAATTCTGTTGTCAAAGAGGCAAAATAAGCCTGGTACTCTCTCTACACTAGAAAAATGCATTTTTCCAACTGTCATTAGTGATGATACTGAAATTGTCACTTTTATTCTGACATTATTTCTGAAGAAGTGTGTATAATTTATAAAGAGTTAACCATTGTTACTGCCGCTGTTCATGGCAACAGCTGTGAGAACTGAGACACGTGGGAAAATGGTTAGATGTGGTGATGAACAGCACCGGGTCAGGGTCAAGTCCTGGCTCTGTCCCTCTTTACCTGTGTGTGACCTTGAGTAGTTCATCTGACCTCTCTGAGGCTCAAATTCCTCCTAGCTAAAATGCAAACAATATCTACATCATATATCTGTTGTGAGGATTAAACAACATCATATAGTTAAATTGTCTGATAGCTCTCAAACAATGGAATCTATTTATTTTCCTTTTTCTCAAAATCAGTATTAATACGATTTTACAGAGGAAAAAAATTAAGCAGTAATTCTTTTCAGGGTCTGTAATCAATGTTCCTGATACTAACTAAAAGGTATTTCTTCAGAATAAAGAGGATACTAATAATCACTGAATGACCTATTATGCAAATGACAATGGCTTGAAGTGTTTAGCATGCCCTATAGCAAAAAAGGTGAAAATGCCTTTTTAAAAGCACAGTAAAACTACCTGTGCATTATAGTAGCCTCTAACTTCATGTAGCAATTGAGCACTTGAAACATAGTTAGTCTCAAATTGAGATGTGCCATAAGTATAAAATACATATTAAATTTTAATGACTTAATAACAAAAAGAAATAAAAATAAATACATCATGAAGGTTTTTTAAAAAGTAACTGCATATTAAAATAATATCTTGGATATATTGAGTTAAATAAAATATGCTATGAAAATTAGCTTTGCCTGTTTAACTTTTAGTCTAGCTACCAGAAAATATAAAATTATACATGTGGCTTATATTGTATTAATATCAGAGAGCACTGTTCTAATGAACCTGCCAAATAACAATATACAAGTTTTTCTCGCACAGGATACATTTATCACAAACTGACAGTAGGCCATTGTGTGACTGTCGTGAGCCCTTTAGCTATCTTTCCTGAGTTGCAGATCTTAGGAGTCCTGAAGACAGAAGCACTCTTGGTTAAATTCCGAAATCCAAGGTGTTACCTTCTCTGCAATTGCAGGCTGCTGTTTCATTACTAACTATATTAATCCAACTTCTTTTATTAGGAA